GATAAGGGAAGAGCTGCAGATAGGGAAAATGTCCTTGGACTTATTCTCCATATCCTTCACCCGGAACTAGGTAAGGGAGCCTTGCAGTTCTAGATKATTCTGGACCCAGAGAAGGCAGAGGATTTACTTGAGCTGCACCACAGCCAGTGGTGGTTTGAGTGTTCTTGGGTGACCAATGAACACTGATGGCCTGGCACCTGACAGCCACTCCCGGACCACCTTTACGCCAGCTACTTTGGMGTCTCCGACTCCAAACCCCTTCCTGTGGAAATCAAAGATGTTTTATCCTTTTGGTAAGTGAACCCTAGGCCCATTCATTGGGCAATGTTTGGTACAGTGTGGGAAATAGTCACAAGCTCTCTGAACCTACAGAGTGGATCTCCTTGTAATTCCCCCTCTCCTCAAGCCAATTTGGCCAAATGTTCTTGGGGTTTCATTTGGAAACCCTAGCTTCATTGTTATATTTTAATTTTGATAGTAAGTCTTGGTATTGCATAAAATATGAGGGACAGGGGGAGGGGGAGAAGAGACCTACAGAGGTTTCCCTTCTTCTTTTTTTTTTTTTTTTTTTAAATTTTTTTTTGTAGTTGTGGATGGACAGAATGCCTTTATTTTATTTATTTTTATGTGGTGCTGAGGATCGAACCCAGTGCCTCACACGTGCTAGGCAAGCACTCTACCACTGAGCCACAATCCCAGCCCCTCCCTTCTTCTTTATAAAGGAAGAAATGGTCATTGGATGTTGCAATCAAAGCCATCGTGTGTCTGCCGACATACSGGTCCCAGCCACCCACAGTCACACACACTCAAACACACAGTTTCTAGAGAGCAAACTGTGTTTGTAGCAACAAACCACACTGACTCTGGGACTTGTGACCCGACTCTGCCCTGAGARAGACACTCCACGGGAAGCCTTATAGGAGCCTACAGCCGGGCCTCTAGGCCTCTTTTGGCAAGTCCCWACAGGATGCCAGGCAGGCTGGCAGGCAGGAAGAGACGCTGCTAGGAACCTCTCCCTGCTGTAATTTACTAAATCCATCTGGGTCTCCTTTGAGACATTTTCTGGAAATGCCACATTTCAAGGTTCTCCCTGTTAAAAAAAGGTCAGAGAGTTCATGGGGGCCTTTCATGTTATAGGAACTTGAAAGGAAAGGAAAGGAAATGTATATTTTCAGCTTTAGCTATGATTAAGTGGGCTTAGGCCATGAGAACATTCAGATGATTTACATGACGTTACATGAAGAGCCAATTAGCCTAACAACTTCCGAAAAAATATCTAGCTCAAGAGCACCTATTTATTAGAGCCCTTGAAATGTGCCAGACATTATACTGAGCTCTTTACTAGGATACGGTGATTTGCCTCAACCTCATGCCAACAGTCAAAGGCAGATACAACACCCATTTCACACAGGAGGAAACTGAGGCTAAGAGAGGGTCAGTGATTTGTCTGGGATCTCACAGCCAGTAAATTGCAGGGCAGGGATAGAAACAACCGTCTGCCCAGATCCAAAGCAGGAGCTTTCTTTCTCAGACCTTCAAACCTTGAGGGTCCTGACTTTGTTCTTTATCCAACATCAGTGGAAGGTCAGGTTTGCCTGATTAATTAGCATAAAGATGAAGCCTCAATAAAACACACCTCTGACCTGACTAATGAGTCCAGACCACTCTGGGTGGATTTGAAACTTGCTTGTAACCTCCAAGGGGGCAGCCACAGCAGGTCTCAACCACCACACTGTGGAGGAACTCCAGGGCCCACGGTCTTTGGGATCTAAGTCACTGACCAGGACAGGTAGCCCAGGGCAGCCAGGAGAGATGGCACAGGCGAGGGTCTGGGCTCAGGGAGAGGCTCTGGGCTCTCTAACCCAACAAGGGCTTGGGCCACCCATACATACCATCCAGGGGGATTATCCAATCTTCTTGATGGCCCCACCATGCAACGAGAGCCACCCAGAAAGTTAGGATTCTATATTGGTGACAGCTCATTCATCATCATTTGTCTGCCAAGACCACACAGCAGATAAGGACTCCTTTGGAATTTTAGGGCCATAATGGAATACTGGAGTGTGGTCATTAGGGTGTAGGCTCAAGAGTCAGACTGCCTGAGTTTGGAGTTCTGACACCCTCATTTTTAAGCTGTGAGATATTGGGGGATTTACTTAACCTCTTTGAACTTTAGATTCCTCATTAGTAAGATGGGGATAATAGTCCTCATGTCACAGGGTTGGTGTGATGATTAAATGAGATATGTGTATGAAGCACTTGGCAGGATGCCTCGCACATAGTATTAACTCAGTATATGGGGTCATTGTTTGAATGACTATAAGGGAATGATAAAGGAACCGGTGCTGACCAAGGGCTCCTATGGGGATGTACCTGCCTTTTGGGAAACAAGTCTAAGCTCCTGTTCTCCTCCTTGGCATTCTAGGCCCGATGGGAAACCACCTTTAGGAGGCCACCCTGACTGCCCCAGCCCACTGGAACTCTTGCCACTCAACTCTGTACAGGCAGGCTGATCCAGCCCCCAGCTTAGCTCTGACAAGTCCTCAACTTCTCAAAGCAGCCAGTGGCTCCCAGAAGGCACTTCTACCCACCCCCCCCTCCTCAGCCTGAGCCTAGGGCTAAGCACAGTAGCTGATCCCTCAGTGAGCTTTCAGACTGATCTCAGCGAGGCTGTGAATGCCTGTGACTCAGCCCTCCTCTCTGCATTACCCCTCCTCACACCCCTACTCTTCCTTCCCCCTCCCCTGTTCCTCCCAGCAAGGCAAGGAGTCCAAGCCAGGACATCAGAGGGCCGAGGTTCCCAGGCTTAGGGATTTCACAGCCCTATAAAAATATCCCAAAAAACTTGAGAGTGGGGGAGTGAACAGATCAGAAAAAAATGTCATTTTTCTTTAGCCAAATTAGGTCATTAAAAAATATATTCTCACCATCATTTTAGTAAAGAAAGGATGCTTTCACACCAATAAAGCAGAAAGAACCGTAATTTTTTTTTTATTAAAGGCTAATACCAAACTGAAAAAAATTTACCCTTGAGGAAAAAAAAAAAAAAAAGGACACACTTCACTTGCCCCTTCTGACTTCTTTCTTTTCTCCTTGGATTGGAGAAAACTTCAGTCCCCACCGGCCTGTGTCCACCGAGACCCCATGGATCTTACCAATTGTTCAGGAGGCGGTTCTGCCTAAGCTGTAGTCACTCACAAACACAGAAGCCCCCCTAACCCCACCCCAAACGCCTTAGGGTTAGGCAGATACCTATTTCCGTTCAACTTTCAGGGGAGGTTCATCCTAAAGCCAGACCCTACAACCTGGGTAGTTGATGGGGGTGGAGGGGCCGGGAGATCATGTGTCAGTGCTCTCCAGGCAGGGCGGCTTTTGGCTGGAGCCCCTCCCCGCAAGAGAGAGGGACCGGGATCCAATTGAGCACTTGGTCACACTTTGGGGAAGCAGGCTGGAGAGACCCAACGGGCAGGACACCTTAGCCCAGAGGTGGGGGGCCGCGGCTCCCCCCTGGGCGGGCGCAGATAGCATCTGAACACTGAGAAGGACGGCCCTAGCTCTTTGATCCGCAGCCAGCTAGGCTGGGCCTGGACCCGGAGGGGCGGCGCGGCTGTCTTCCGGCCCGGCTTTGCACTGCTGCCAGCGGTCCTGTGGGGCCCTGAGCCAGAGAGGCGAGGCGTTCAATGCCCCCTCCCCCAAATACCCTCGGTTTCAACTGCTCTAGAACAGGCGGGAGTGTCTACATTGAATCCAGTACAGAAACCTGCTGGGGGACCTGCAGTTTACTCGTCCCTGATAGACCCAAAAAACCGCGATCCAAAGAACCAGTCTCTTTTTGCAGATGCAGAAGCTGAGCTGAGACCAAGTCACGGGAGGTCTCTGTGAATAAGGCTCCAGCTGCCAAGTAGATAAGATGGAAGCTTCTGCACCGACCATCGTTAATGGGCTTCAGAAAGCAACTTCCCAGATCGAGTTGCTGCGGGTAAAGGACCCCACGTCGGAAACCGTGGTCCACGTGGCTGCTCACAGTCCCTGGGAAACCAGTCTTTGGGGTACAGAAATTCTAGGCGTGTAACTGAGCTGGGAAAGTCATGGTGGGGGGTGGCTGGAGTTCGGCGGCGGGGTTCCTTCCTCCTAGTCTTGTGTTCGCACCTTGGAGCGCCACATGGTTGAGGGGCTTGTTACAGATGTGTGATGTATGAGCTGCGCATGCAACAGATGCTCAATAAATTTGTAAGGATTGTATACTTGTTCTCACAGTGGGCGGGCAACCCTGAAGGAAGTTCCAGATTGGCATAGAGATGGAGAATGGGGCAGAGAATGGGCCTTTGAGAATTCCTAATCTTGACGGTTCCCTGGGTTCCGAGTGGCCCCAAGCTCTAAAACACCCCCAGTTCAAAGCACAGGGCACACTGGGCCTGGGGCCCAGAGGCAGTTCACGCTAAGGCCGCGACTTGAAACCACACCCAAGTCCCAAGGCACCCTCACCCTACGCAAGTGGAAAAGAAACCTGGACGCAGGATGACAATATCTTGTTGTAGGGAGAAAGCAGGGTCAGGAGTTTCCTTTAGGGTCCTGACATTACAGGAGAAGAGTGACAATCTTTAAGCTGCTCCGACGTCTCACTCAGGATTCACTCACGGAAAGCGAGCCCTTTAAGGCTGTGCCTAGTGGGTGCGTCCCGGCCTCTCCGGGGAGAGGAGGGGGCGGACCCAGACTACTCGACCACGCCCCCGTCGGGGCCCGCCCCCGGAGTGCCCGCCCCGCCCCCGGCACTCCGCCGGCGGCGCCTTTGATGTTCCGACCCGCCGGCTCCGGGAGCMGCTCAGCCCCGCGCCCTTACCCGGCGCCCACAGCCCGCCCAGGCGGAGTCAGCCCGCGCTCCGCCCGCCGCGATCCGGGCTCGGAGGTCCAGACTCCGGGCTCGCCGCCTCCCGGGCCGGCTCCGCGCCCCGCACTCTCCGCGCCCCGCGCTCCCTGCGCCCCGGCGGGCGGAGGGCACCATGCCGCAGCTGGACTCCGGCGGGGGCGGCGCGGGCGGCGGCGACGACCTAGGAGCGCCCGACGAGCTGCTGGCCTTCCAGGACGAGGGCGAGGAGCAGGACAAGAGTCGCGACAGCGCCGCGGGCCCTGAGCGCGACCTGGCAGAACTCAAGTCGTCGCTCGTGAATGAGTCCGAGGGCGCGGCCGAAGGCTCTGGGATCCCGGGTACCGGCGCCGGRGCACGCAGCGAGGCCGAGGTCGGGGCCGAGGTGAGCGTCTGCCCGCGCCCACTGTGTCGGGGTCGCCCCGCCGGGCGCCGGCTCGAGCTGACCAGCCCTCCCGCTTGCGGCCCTCCGGGTCTCCATCCTTCAGAGCCCTCCTCCCCGGCCCTGAGCCCCTGAGCCCCGTGGTCCCCGCCGCCGCTCACGGCCTCTCTGGTTCTCCCTCTAGGCTCTGGGACGGGAGCACACTTCGCAGAGACTTTTCCCGGACAAACTTCCAGAGTCTCTGGAGGACGGTGAGTTTCTGCACGGCCTGGCTCCTCTTCCTCGCGCTGAGGCCCTGGCCTCGATAGGGAAACAGCGAATCCTGGGGGTGCCTCCCCCGGCTGCTGCTCGGGGAGGGGATAGAAGCCAGGGCGGGGGGTGGGGGAGTGGGGGGCGGGTTTCCCGGGCGCTGCTGGGCTCGAGTCACTTCCGGTGCCCTGACCTTTATAGGAGTAAACAGACCCCCTCCATCTCCGCCTCCCCTCTTGCCCAGGTGACTGACTAATCCCCAGCCTTGAGGAGAAAGCGTTGGCCAAGGTTCCTTGGCTGGAGGACTGAGTGGGGGTTCTATTCGGGGCCGCCAGGGGAAGACCTGGATTCGGGGTCTTCCCACAAAACTTGGCACTGAAGACACCCGCATCCCGTTCCCTAGCAAGTCACAAACTCGAAGGAGACCCCTTGGCAATTCTTATTTTTTCTCTCAAGAGCAGACTGCCTTCAGCCTGAGCAGCTGCCTGGGCTGGTATCTGACCCAGCTGTGGTTTTTCCAGGCCTGAAGGCCCCAGAGTGCTCCAGCGGCATGTACAAAGAGACTGTCTACTCCGCCTTCAATCTGCTCATGCACTACCCACCCGCCTCAGGAGCAGGGCAGCATCCCCAGCCGCAGCCTCCACTGGTAAGTGACCCCAGCAGCCAGTGTCCCTAGCGCTTGCTTCTTCCGTTGACCAGGTAGGTGAGGCATGGGCAAGAAGTGACTTTTGCCTAGAAGAAATAGGTATGTGAGCATTCTGTGGTTGTCTTTTTTCCTCGTACACAACCAGAGGGATCTGAACCAAGAGGAGAATTCTAGGGGGAGGAAGGAGGGCCTGCCTTGGATCATCCCCTGCCCTGGAGCTATTGGCTTTTGTCTTCCCAGCACACTCATAAGCAGGTGCAGGCCTGGTCCTTGTGCTGCATGATGCTGGGGTGAACAACTTTTGAGCTGAGATCACCTTCCTCTCGAGGTTGGTGTGTTTAATGTGATTTGAGCTCAGAGCTCTGCAGTTAGCTTTCTCCTGGGAAGCCCTGAGCCTGGGTGTTGGAGGGATGGGCAGAAAAGGAGACCTGATGGGATCTTCTGGTTATGCAGAAGAAAGGTTCTCCACTGTGTGCTCTTACTGGCATGAGTGTGCCTGTGCCAAAGGAGAACCCTACATACCAGGTGAGTTCTGAGGAGGCATACTTGGTCTCTTACCTGCTAAGAAAGGTTTGCAGAGATGTATTGCAAATCAGTGGTATCAGTAAGAGACCAGCTCAGTGAATTGTGAGTTAAATCCTTTAAGTACCTAGAGCTCTGAAAAGATTTCATGATCATTACAAACCATGCTTTTTTCCATCGGTCCAGATAAAGTGTGAAGAGCCTATTTGGAGTGCTTTTAAAGCTGCATTTTTTAAAAAAAAAATTCACATTAATATTTCAGACAGTCTCCAGTTGACCCAAGTTGGGGGTGAGGGTGCATGGAAGGCTTGGGGAGGTCTGTGGTAGGTTGATATTGGGTGCAAATGTAAACCCAGCGCATGGGGCCACAGGCAGGGTCCACCCAGAAGGAGGACAGGATGACTGTGAGGCTGGTTCAGATCAGGAGTGAGGAAGGAGGTTCTGAGAGCTATTTCCTGTTAAAGCTGGCGGGARGTGAGAAGACAGATGCAGGCTGCTCTCCAGAAGCTCAGACCTAAAAACCTGGTAGACAGCTGACTTGAGAAATGAAATCTTTGCCCTCTGGACCCCTTCTCATCTCTGTACACCAAGCACGTTAGCTATTGAGAAGTCTGCTTGACTTCTCTGCTCTGTGATATAAAGGGTAATTCTCTTCTTTCCAGATCTATGAGGGAGGGGGCTTCTTCCCCACCCTGCCACCTGATGAAGCCACTGTCCCCATAGCCCTGCATCCTGCAGGAACAGATGCTTTTTTGGATTCCGTGCAAGGTGTAAACTCTTTGATTTGGGGCCAGTTGGCATAACCCACCATTYCCAGTCACTGGCATGCATCGATTGGACTGGGGCTATGGTCATCATAGTAACTGTGACTGGACAAGAGGCCTAGGCCCCAGTCCTGGCAGGGCTAGCTCCCAGGACTCCATGGTAGAGCAGAGGGAAGGCAGTGGTTCCTCTTACAGTGTGAGCAAGTGGCAGGAGAGTATCCAGAGCAGGAAGGGCTTCATTCTGCTATAAGGGTGTGGGTCATAAGACCATTTGGTGTCCTTTGGTTTACACTGGTCAAAGAGTAGGCAGAAGGTGGATTCCCACAGTCAGGATCAGCACCACTTACCTGGCTTGGGGCATATGTTTTTCAGCTTCCAGTTTTTTCCCAAGCTGTGGCAGATGCTTGTCTATGCATTGCACCCTCCTCCCCACCCAGCTGCTGCCCCCACTCCTAGTTTCTGGGAACATGGGAGGACAGGCTCTGGCACTGAATTTCTGTGTCCTGGCCTCAGCTGCTCTTTGGGGCTGGGGACAAGGACAAAGGCAGGGACCTATGTTAGAGTGACATAGGGTGAGGAAATGTACATGAATATAGGGGAGCCTGTTTTAAGCAAACTTGATAGTTATAACACATAGCAAATAAAAGTAGTTGTTTGAATTATGCAGAAAATTGTATGGACACTTCAAATATGGTTGGGTTTTACAAAGCAAAAGAGATTGRCTTCATATCTTTGGAGCATATTTATCATCCGATTCAAAGTTCATATGTCTGGCTGGGTATGGTGGTGCATGCCTGTAATCCCAGTGACTGAGGAGACTGAGGCAGTAGTATCACAGTTTGAGGCCAACTTCATCAACTTAGTGAGGCCCTCAGTAATGTGAGACTCTGTCTCAAAAGAAAAATAAAAATGGCTGGGGATGTGGCTCAGTGGTAAATGCCTCTGGTTCAGTCCCCAGTACCAAACAAACAAATAAACAAAAAAGAGTTAATGTGTCTGGAGTCAGGAAAAAGTCTTCTGTAGTTGGTTGGGAGCTCTAGAAAGGGCCCTGAGGAAAAACTGTCATGGGAGTTTTTCCAAAGCTGGTCTTTATCAAGCCCATCTGTGGGGGACAGACTACCAAATATGCTACCAAGCCCTGTTAGCAAGCCTTAGAATTAGGTCTTCTCATCCTTTGTCCAGCCTCTCTGAGGACATGTASGTGGTCAAAAATTTTGCTCAAGGGGCTGGGGTTATGACTTAATAGCAGAACGCTTGCCTAGCATGTGTGAGGCACTGAGTTCGATCTTCAGTACCACATATGAATAAATAAAATAAATGTCCATTGAAAACTAAAAAATTTTTTTAAATAACTGGGTTCAAACTGGGTACAGTGGCACATGCTGTCATCCCAGTGGCTCAGGAGGCTGAGGCAGGAAGATTGTGAGTTCAAAGCCAACCTCAGCAAAAGTGAGGTGCTAAGCAACTCAGTGAGACCCTATCTCCAATATAAAATCGGGTTGGGATGTGGTGCAGTGATCAAGTGCCCCTAAATTCAATTCCTGGTACCCAAAAAACAAACAAAAAATTGTGCTCAGGATCTAAGATGTTCAAGATGAATTGCTGGATTTCCATAGATAGCAGGGCAAACCCACATCAGAGACCATCTCCACTCACGTGTGGGAGGGATGTTCATGTGGCCACCACGTCTGAAGGCCTCCAAACAAGCAGACTTAAACCTTGCCAGGAGCCAAATGTCTGACTGACAACCAGTTGCCATGGGGCAGAGAGACACTTTTTTCCAAAAAAAAGTTGCTTTTTGGTATTTGGTTTCTTTGAAGCTTTGTTTGGGGAAGGGGAAAGTTAAGTCAAAGCTTTTTCCATGCAAGTTGTTTGCCAGGCATCTAATATAGGCTTGCAGGCAGTAACTGGCCTAGATCATAACTGTTGTTTCTGTGTGTGTGTGTGTGTGTGTGTGTGTGTGTGTGTGTGTATGTTTTCTTCTCAGTTCTGAGACCTGTAATGGGGTAGGAGTGGAGAGGTAGGGTAGTGAGCTGGTCCTGAGCCAGACTGGGGGGATTCTGAAATTAACATAATAAGGCAGCATTCCCAAGGGAAACTCAGGCGATTAGATGTACAAGACCACCAGTCTGGTTCTATCCAAAAAGGATATGAGGAAGCATTGCTCTGTGGCCCTTTCTACAGGCCCCTCTTGGAGTCTGTGGCCTGGAAGGATTCTGAGCCTTTTGCTCAGAATTGACAGATCCATAGAAACAGAAAGTGGTTTGCCAGGAGCTGAGAGAAGGGAAGAATGGGAAGTGACTGCCAATGGGCATGGGATTTCTCTTTGGGGTGAYGAATACATTCTGGAATTAGATGGTGGTGGCAGTTGCAACCTTGTGAATATACGAAAAATCGCTGAATTGTACATTTTAAAATAGTGCATTTTATGGAATGTGAATTACATCTCAATGACAAAAAAAAAAAAAAAGTTGTGGCTTTTGACTGTTGCAGAGGCTTAGGCCACACTCCCTGTCCCTGATCCCATAGTTATCCTAGTACCTGGGCATCCTTCCAGCCCGGGGATCAAGTGGCAGCTCTAGTGTGAGGCGCACAAGGGAAATGGTAGACTTATGTGTGGGGCCCTGGCCATAGGGCTCACCACTGAGTTCCAGGATTGAGATCCTAGTGAGGGCATGGAAACAAGCCCTGAGGGAGCGAGAGGGTTATGAGCAAGACCTGACTCTAGCAGAGGAAGGAAGTGCTGTTGACAACGGTCCCCCATCTGGGGAGCTGTGCAGAGAGAATGTGTAGGAACACCACCCAGCCCTCCGCCCTGACAGAGGGGCACAGTGGGCTTGCTCTGGGATATTAGTGGCAGTTGAGCACCAGCCCAGGTTGGAGTGAGGATTGTGAGAAGGGAGTCTGGTACCAGGTTGCTACCAGGTTCTGGGAACCCAAAACAGAACCAGGCTCAGCCCCAAGAGTGCCCAGCTGAGCTGAGAGCACAAATTAATAAATCCAGACAGGATTTATTCTGTCTGGAGAAGTACTGTCAAGTAGGCCTAGCTGAGGGGTCTGGACAGAACTGGCCTCAACTTGGGCTGTGAACCAGGGTCCCCTGAGCAGCATGCTGAGGGCTGCAGGTTGTCTAACAGATAAAGCAGGGACTGGCATGCTCCTGGGTGCATCCTAGATCTTCCACTTCGTCTATGAGCACTCCCAGCCCTCATTATTTCCCATCCAGATGGCACAGTAGCCTCTTCCAGTGTCCATCTGCATCCCTGTCACCCTAACCCACAGTCCAGACTCCATGTAGCAGCCAAAGAGGTCCTTTAAAAACAAATCAGATCACGTCTCTCACCTGATTAAACTTCAGGGCCTTTCCCATTAGTCTTGGAGGAAAGTCCAAATCACTTACCACAGCCTCAGTGCCTCATTATCGGCACTACCTTCTTCCTCTCCCTCACAGCAGCCCCTCTAGCCTGGTGGGTTTTATACCTGGCCAGCTCTTCCCACCTCAGGACCTTTACATTTGTTCCCTCAGCTTGCACTTCTCTTCCCCAGCTCTTGGCATAGGTGCCACCCACCTTCTTAATCCTCATTTGAGGCTTAATTCAGATAGTTGTCTCCTCCTCCGATCATTCAAGCGGGATCCTCCCTCATCCTGCCTCTGGGCCTTGGCTGCCTTGCCCACCCCAGCAGCTCTTCTGGATGATGTGGTTAGCATAGCTTTAACACACTCGCCATGCTTAGCCAAAGAGAGCTTGTCTGCAGAGGCATCCTGGACCTTGTTTCCTGCATTTTTGCAATGGGCTCATGAGCCTTCCTTGTACTTTTTGGAGTGAGGACTAGCAGTTTTGCCAGAGAGATGCCCAGGGAGGTGCCAGCATGGCCTGGGCTGGGTGGGGACAGGCTTTGTCCATGATTGATCCCTTCTCCCTTGCTATCCTAGTTCTCGTGGGACCATTGGTGGCTTAGCGGGTTAGGCCCCATGTGGACTCCCATCTGGAGGGCTGTATCTCCACTCTGGGCTACGGGGGTCTGAACCCTGGGACTGGGGACTCAGGTGTATGTGTCCCCTACTCCCTGCCTGACCTCATCCAGGGATTCTTCAGATGGGAAGTGCTATCCCTGGGACCAGCATGGGAGCCACAGCCACTTGCTCGATCCTGAGAATCCCTTTTCACCACCCCAAAACTTGATCTGAAAGAGACTCTCCTTCCTCATCCCTTTAAAGCCCTTATATAAGGTGTGAGGAATTGAGGCTGTTTTGTAAGAATAAAAAGGGAGATGACCCTCATGGTCATTAGCCTGGAGCCACCCTTGGACCTTTGCTCACATGGTCACCCCTAAACACACCCCCTTATTCTTGCTGTAATGCTTCCCCTGGTGTGTGGTGCAGGCTTCCAGCAATGCCCATGCACATCATCTTTATTCATAGCATCCTTCCTGTGGCTCCTGGCTCACTCACAGGCCACCTTCTTTATCAGGAGGATGAGGCTCTGGACAAACCACTCCTTGGTTTCTGTTTTGATTATTTTCCTGGAGCATAATACCCCCTGAGAACTATGGTGTCAAGAAGTAGGAAGAATCACAGTGTTCTGCAGCCCTGTTGCCCCTGTTCTTTGTGGGTTCCAAGCCTGCGACTGTTCCCCGGCCCTTGAAGTGCCTAAACATGACTGATATGGAGTCTTGTCTTTGTCGCTCTTCATTTAGTCTATGGTGGATAGTGGGACCTCAGTTTGTTTTGAAGTGCATTTCTTTCCTGACTCAGAGGCTGTGTGGAATTAGCTGTGGGATCTGGACAGTCTGTAGACCCTCTTCTGCTGCTCCCAAGCTGAGACTGTG